GAAGGTCGTAATATCCTTCTAGTTTGTTTAGGGCTTCCAACATCAGGCATCAGTCGAGCAAGTCTTGTCCTAACTATTGACGTGTTCTTCCTGTTGATCGAGCATCAAACATTACGCCAAGGTAACAGATGTAAAGTTTTGACGTGATCTCTAGATTTTCTATCTTCAGCTTGATGGTCTGTATTATTTTACAGAAGTTTACTGGCACGTTCTTGTCACAAAGTACATTCATAATGCAATCCCAGTTCGCAGAATTGAAAGCATTTTTTATATCTAATGTAGCTAGATAAGTACAATACAGTACTTTTTTGCACTCCCCTTCCATTTGGTTCCAGTAATTGCTTCTTTGGCGGTATTAACTACCAAGTTTATAGCATCGATAGTTGATTGCCCTTGGCGAAAACCATACTGTTTGCCTGCTAAGAGTGGGTCAACTACAGCATCTATTCTTTGGTGAATTATTCTTTCAAATATTTTACCCGCTGTATTCAGTATGCATATCGGACGGTAGGATGATGGTTCATTTTGTGGTTTTATTCCTAATCTTTGCTGTTTTTATTTTCGTAGAAAATCCCCTCCTTTTATAGGCATTAAGAAACATTGTCGGAGATGCCATAATTGATGTTTATAAGGCGATATTAGGAAATCCATCTAATCCAGGCGCCTTACTATTTTCAACCCGATGACAAGCTACCATCAGTTCTTGCAGTATTATAGGTGGAATATTATTCAGTTCTACATGTGTTACCTGGTAGTTTAAATTAGGTTGTCGTCGGAACAAAGTAGTAACTATTTTATTCCATAGTCGTGGGCAAGTTAGCGAAGGCATTGGCTGGTTTTTGAGGCGAGACATTACAATCTTATGAGGAATTTTCCACGGGTTTTCTTCGACTTCATCCAGAAGTTCTTTCCAGCACCATCTTTGATAACTTTATTTATTTGCCGACGTTCCTGTTTGTATTCCACTGCCAGTTGTGCAGAATTTGTGAGACTATAACGATAACCTCACTGAGAGATTCTTCTTTTTTTATGGCATTCTTTACGAAGACAGCTAAGTTTTTCATTCCACCAGTGCACAGATTGTCTTTAATTTATGCCATGCTTACGAGTCCTACTGATATCACAGGCTTCTGTTGTTCTCTCCATCGGCTTTCTAGTATGTTCATCTGCATATTCTGAAATAATAGGTTTGCAATTTAAAGCTATTCTAATGCCGCTTTCATCAAAAGATTTTATTTTCCACCCAATGGCTTTAGATATCTTTACATGCCTTTTAATGTTTGTATTCGATGATAGTTTTCAAGTGATTACATTGTGATCACTAGCAGTATAGATATCTAATACCTTCTAATTGCAATTTTCTCTGACGAGGCTATTTCTAACAAAAGTAAGATCTATTACTGCCCTTGACAAAGGTTGGCTTATCACCGCTATTTAGTAAAACAACATCAAGTGAAGTGCAGGCTTCAAAAAGTGCTTTACCTGTTGCATTAGTCTTCCTGCTTCCCCAGTCTACCGCCTATGCGTTAAAGACACCGACTATCGCTACGGGGTGGTGTCGTTTTGCATCCTCTACAAGACGATCTAAGAAATCAACAAAATGTGTGTGTGTATGTGTGTGTGTGTGTGTGCGCATGCAAATTTTGGTTTACGATTTTGGGAACACGGATCAACCAATTTGACTAATTTAAAAAACTTTTTTTTTTGTATTGACTAAACGAAGAACTGTTCAAATTTTTGGAATGGCAGGTTCAGCGGTTATGGACTTTCAATAAAAAAAAATAAAAAAAAAACAGCCATTTGCCAGTCAAAAATGATTATTGGACATATGCACATTAAATTATCAGATATTTTATAGAAATTTAAATAATATGTACACAATTTGTGTCAACTTTTTTTGGTTCCGTACAAAGATTTTCAATTTTGAAATTTACGTATATGATTCAAACAAATTTTTTCGACATTTTTGAAAGTATGAAATAACCGATTTGAATAATTTAAAAAACATTTCGTTCGTATTGATAAAGAGACGTGCTGATTAGTTTTTAGCAAAGACAAGTTCAGCCGTTTCGAAAATACGGGCAAAAAGCCAAAAAACGTAATTCAGTTTTTGAGAGAATAGAGCGTCCGATTTGAATAATTCAAAAGCATTTTATTTGCATTGACTAAACGAAAAACTGTTTAATTTTTAGGCAAGGCAGGTCCAGCGGTTATAGACTCTCAATTAAAAAAAGTTTTAAAAAATGCTATTTGACCAAAATGCTAATTGCGCGTTTGAAAAATGCGATTTGGTCAAAAATGTTTATTGGACATATGTACATCAAATTATCAGATATTTTATAGAGATTTTAATATTGTGTACACATTTCGTGCAATTTTTCTTGGATTTTGTACCAAGATTTTTAATTTTAAAGTTCACTTTATATGGTTCAAACAAATGTCCTCGACGTTTTCGCCAGTATGAATCAACCGATTTGTATAATTGAACTAGTGGGGCGCTTGGCATTGTGTCTTAAGGCAAACTGCTGGAACTTTCCGTACCGTAATTAAACATTCGAGGAATGAAAAAATAATCAATAATTGTTTTGAAGATTTTCAAATAGATTATTTATTATAAATACATATTGTAAATACATAAGTACTTTTTAAATTGCGTAATGGGCGTATTTTATAAACAACTTATGTGTACGTTTTACAAGAGTTCATTTTTTTTAAATTAGATTTTTTGATAATTTATAAATTTTTTGATAAATTAGATTTTTTTTTGAGGTTTAAATTTTTTGAAATCTAAAAAAAACGTCTTTTTAAATTTTTGAGAATTTGGAAATTTTTGAAAACATTAGATTTTTCTATAATTTTAGTAAAATTCTCAAAATATTGTAAGAAATCATTTTTAACTTCCCGTAGGGCAAGTTATAGAAATCGCAAAAAAATCCAAAATGAAAATTTTTGCATTTCTCGACGTTTCAAAGGTTTCTGAATATTTTGGCATACCTTAGAAAAAATGGATGTATGTGTGTGTGTATGCGCGTGTGTGTATGTATGTGCGGATACAAATTTTTGTCGATGATTTCGGGAACACCGATCAACCGGTTTGAATATTTCAAAGAACATTCGATTCGTATTGATAAGGAGACGTGCTGATTAGTTTCTGGCGAAGGCAGGTCTAGCCGTTCCGAAGATACGGAGCAAAAAGTGCCAAAAACGGTAACTTAGTTTTTAAGAGAACGGAGCGTCCGATTTTAATAATTCAACAAACATTTTACTTGTATTGGCAAGGTGAAGAACCGATCAAATTTTCATAAAGGCAGGTCTAGCGGTTTCGGAGATCTAATGGAAAAAGTAAAAAAAAATGCCATTTGGCGATCAAAAATGATCATTAGACATATGCACATCAAATTATCAGATATTTTATGGAGATTTTAACAATAAGTATAAATTTGGTTTACATTCCTATGGATTCCGTACCAATGTTTACGCGTTAGACGGCGACACGGCGCTTACGCGTTTTGATTTCTTGTATGATTGCTTTGAAAAAAAGTTTAGATCTTCCAAAATATGTCAAAATAAAGTAAACATTTTTTTTTCAAAAAAAAAAAATTAAGAAAAAAATATTTTTTAAAAAATTTTTTTTTTAAAAAAAGAAGTAATTTTATGTCCAATTTATAGTTTCTCAAAAATTTTATTTTTTTCGAAGTAAAATTTTTTCAAAAATGTTAAAAAAATAATAATTTTTGATACGAGAAGTTCCAGCAATTTGCCTTAAGGCACGATGCCTTAATTGCCTTAAGACAGCTAGTTTTTTAATTGCCACTTACAGCTAGTTTTTTAATTTTTTAAAATTTAGTTTTTTATTTGAAAAGCATGAAAAATTTCGAAAATTTGAATTTTTTGAAACTTGGATTTTTTTTTTGAAAATTTTGAATTTTTTTTTAATTTTCACTAAATTTTCGGTATATGCATTTTTGCACACCATCTACTCAAGCAAAATGATTTTTGAATCAATCTAATCGGATAATCGGTTCTCTCAAAAAACTGCATAACCGTTTTTACACCTTTTACGCTTCATACCTCCGAAACGGCAAAATTGCTTTTTGCAAATACGCCTTGCAATCGAATACAAACCGCATAATTTTTTAGTCATACAAATCATTTAAAAAACTTCAAAATAAAAAAAACTTGGTACGGAACCCAAAAAAACTTACTCAAAATGTGCACACAATATTAAAATCTCTATAAAATATCTGATAATTTGATGTACATTTGTCCAATAAACATTTTTGACCGTCAAATGGTAATTTTTTATCTTATTTTTATTGAGAGTCCATAACCGCTAGACCTGACTTCCTCAAAAGTTTACCAGTTGTTTATTTTGTCAATACGAGTAAAACGTTTTTTGAACTATCAAAATCGGACGCTCCGTTCTTTTGACAACTGAGTTACCGTTTTTGGCACTTTTTGCCCCTTATCTTTGAAACGGATAGTCCTGCCTTTGCCTAAAACTAATCATTATGTCTCCTTATCAATACGAATCAAATGTTTTTTAAATTATTCAAATCGGTTATTCCGTACTGTCGAAAATGTCGTGGACATTTATTTGAACCATATACGTGAAATTTTAAATTAACTGGTTGATATTGACGTTGATATTGATTAAGATTAATAAGTACAAATAAGTATTGATATTCACATGAACTTTCCGATATGTATAAATTATGAGTGATTAAAAGTATTCAGAGTGGATTCATTACACATAACTGAAAACGAACGAACACGTTAACTCGGAGTATTTTCTAATAGCAAATTTTTAAAAATCAACAATTTTTATATTTGAACCAGTTTCCGTAAAACTTTAATGGTTTAATATGTTCATTAAGACCATGTACTCTATCGTTATACCGAGTAAATCGTCTAATTTTAATTAAAAAAATGGCTATTAATAAAGTACATGCTATTCCTTGGTATTTTGATCATGTACAGTAGCAAATCTTATTATTTCGTTACAAGTGATAACCGTGATGTCCGTGGGAATGTACAGTCGGTCCAGTTTTAGAAACGACTGCATTGAAACCGTCTCTGTCGTTGGCTGCATATTTAACGGTGCGTACGGAACCATCAGGTTCAACCAATGAGTTTTGACCTAAGATATAACAATAATTATTCCAAACATATAAAATATTTTTCAGGCGAAAATTTTTAATTGTATGTCACCTTTTACTACGTCACCATCACGGACTTCATGTTGTGATTTGACATCTCCGGTATAGTGATCGTTGACACCATATTGGAATGAGTATTGAGGATGAGTCTGCACAAATAAAAAAGTGTTAAATTATTACAGGTTTATAAATATTTCACATAATTTTTAACTTACATGATGATAATCGTTTAGTGCATAGGAGTTGTGGTGATCATAGTTCAAGCCAAGTCCTGTGTAAATTAATGCATGGCTGGCGTGGTTAAGGCCATGACCAATATATCCATGAGCGTAGTGGTTGTTGTGGTTTACTAGATTTGAGTAACTTTGGGCGACATATCCATATCCATATGGATGGTAATTATAATATCAAACTGGTGAGTCGTGAGACACTGTTGAGTAGCTCACAACTGATCCTCCATGACTATAGGCGCTAACTACTACCAACGAGGCACAAAAAGCAATTACCTTGATTTACAAATTATAATTACAAAATAATAAATATATAAATTTATGATCTTTAATCGTACTTGAGTCATTAAAATGGTATCAAATCATTTAAAAATATGCTAAACTTATGCATTTACCTTTGCGAATGCCATGCTTAATACTATTTTGATTCCCTGTCAACTGATATTTTTTTTATTATATTTTACGCCGACCATGAATTAGTCTACGCAGAGCATGGCTTGAACTATGGTTACCACAACTTCTATGCACATGAATTTGATTATCACACCAAGTTACAACTAGGTTTAAGTGGCATTTTTCTTCAAGCCAAGTTTCATGAACTTCCTTATATGTGTAAATATTTTATTTAATCAAAAATATTACGTATTATTAGTTATTATCATTTATATAGTATACTTGTTCACTCGTTCAAATGTCTAACTATATAAGTGACCACCTTTTTAAGTTTTAACTTGTCACATTTTGTGTTTATTTGCCTACATATTTATCTATTTACCTGCCGACTAGTCGACCTGCTTATTGGTTGGCCTGCCTACAGACTAAATCTCCAATCTTCTATCTGTTCCAATTGTCTACTTGTTTACCAATTCATTTGTTAACCTATCCACATATCTATCTGTCTATTCAGATTGGTTGATCTGTGCTCTCGAATTCGTGGACGAAAAATTGTATACACACGAAACACATTTTTGTAATTTCTATAGTCATGCGAGAAGTTAACTATGTGAATTCATATTAATCTTTAATAAATTGATACCTATTTATTTTTGTAGACTCATCCTCAATACTCATTCCAATATGGTGTCAACAACCACCATACCGGAGACGTCAAATCACATCATGAAGTTCGTGACGGAGATGCTGTAAAAGGTAACATACTATAAATAATTATTGCCTGAAAAATATTTTATATATTTAAAATTCATAATGATATCTTATGTCAATATTCTTTCGTTGAACCTGATGGTTCCCCACGCAAAGTTAAATACGCTGCCAATGACAGAGAAGGTTTTAATTCGGTTGTTTCCAAAACTGGATCTACATTCCTACGCACATCATGGCCATCATTGATGAATTTATATAATAAAATCGGCAAATTCTTTCTATCTTTTATATCAAGTATAAAATTTCATACATGTATGAATTATGTGATTTATTTATAGACAAATAAAAAAAAAAATAATACTAAAAATATTCTGTGTTTCTTGTTTTAAATCATGTTCTTTTTTAATATATTAACATTTTAGAAAAAATTGTAATAGTGAATTATTGTAAATAGTATTTACAATAATTCCGATTAACAAAATAGTTGAAATAAATTAACTTAATTTTAAAATAATTGTTCTGCCAAAATTAAAATTATTGTTTTGATTGTAAACGATGCTTTTACATAGACAACTGGTATGAAATTATCATTTTTATATCATAATTAAAATTACTTCATTTTTCAAAAATATATTTAATGTGTTTTATATTTATAATATTCTCATATTACACCGTGCGCTTATATGTATGAAAATATATGTATTTATTACTTATTTTTGGAAAATAGAATAATACACATTATAGAACAAAATTTGTATTCTCAAAGAGCGTGATTCATCCAAAGCCTGATAAATTTGTATAAATAATGCACTTGTATTACTTTTAATAGCTAAATTAACTAGTAGTGTATAGCATCGTGCCTTAAGGTATATTGCTGGAACTTCCCGTACCGAAACGAAATGTTCGAGAAACATTAAATGTCTTGAAATAGATTCTTATAAATATATAACATTTTCTAATATTTATAAGAATTATATAAACTGAATTGCAAAGTTAAACTTATTTATTCAAAGTATATAAGTGAGCTTTAGAATTTTAGTCAAAATTCAAATTAAAGTCTGAATAAGATTGAAAAAAAATTTTTTTTCGAAAAGCAATTATTTTGTCAAAACAAGCAGAAAGTTTTTTGAATCATCCAACTCGGATGCCTAGTTCTCTCAAAAACTGCCATTTTTTACACAATTAGCTTGGTATATAAAAAACGGCTGGACCTGCCTCTGTCAAAATCTAACATCACTTCTCCCAATCATTACAAATTAAATGTTTTTTGGATCATTCAAATCGGATGCTCCGATCTCTCAAAAACTCGATTTCTATTTTCTGCATTCTTTGCTCCGTATTTCCAAAACGGTTGGACCTGCCTTTACCAAAAACTAATCAGCACATTTCTCTATCAATAAGAATGAAATATTTTTTGAACCAAATCGGTTGATCCGTGCGCCCGAAAACGTAAACGAAAAAATGCGGATACACAAAACACACACACATCCATTTTTTCTGAGGTATGCCAAAATGTTCACAAACATTCAAAATGTGAAGATATGCAAAAAAATTTATTTTTGATTTTCGGCCCATTACTATAACTACCCTACGGGAAGTTAAAAAACTGTTCCAACACATTTTTCTCAGAAAGTGATTCTGTGAAAAATCGATGACACTACCAAATACGATATTGTACACTATCATATAAATCTGCACGTTTATATAAGCTTATTATTTTTTTAACAATAGCTAAATAGCAATCAAAAAAATAAAAAATTATATAATATAAGTTATCGTGCTGATTATTAGAACTCCAGTAATAGTACTGGAGTTCTACATATACGACATAATGGAGGTCACCCCAGTGGCCTACTCCATTTTAAGACACTAATCAAAGGGATCAATCTTCTAACATGGAAATTAATGTGGAGTTTTTGTGGTTGTTGATCTTGTCGTGATGAATTTCGTTTCTGTTTTACACTACATCCTCGACAGTATCGATTCTCAGATCGTTATGCGGTATTTGGGTACTGACCCAAACATACCCTTTATTAATGTGAATGTTATATGGAGAGATTTGTCTTCATTGATTTTTACGCGCCAATAGTTAGACCAGTTTTTAATTTTATTGAAATGTTGTTGCAGTTTGATGCTTGCTAGTAATGAATTTTTGTCAGTAGAATTACTATATCATCTGCGAAAGCTCTAATGGTTTTTCTTTCAAAACCGGAATGTCTTGTATATATAGTATAGAGTAGTTAAAAGTATGGACCCAGTACACTATCTTGTGGGACTCCTGCCTCAACCAAGCAAGCTGATGAAGTTTTCATATTTACTTCTTTTACATTTTAATTACAATATGCCACTCTTAAGACATTCAGTAATTGTTTTGACTTTATTATATATAGATTTTTGAATGGAATTTATTATATATAGATTTTTATAGATTCACATCAAGGAAAACTGATGAACAGAATTGTTTTGTTTCTAGGTTATTGTGGATGACGTTCACAATTCTATGTTATTTTTGGATCGATCGTCAACACTCGATTTTATCTTTGAAATCTAAACTGATGGTCTGGAATTACGTTAGTATTGTTTTTTATATGTTTAAGCAAAAGTTTTTCAAAAACTTTTGATGCCACTGGTAAGACACTAATAGGTCGGTAGGATGATACATTATATAGGTCTTTACCGTTTTTGTAAATCATTTTAACTATTGAAGTTTTATAATGTATTGGCCAATAATTTAGCCTAATTATAGAGTTAAATAAGTATGTTAGTAAGATAAATCCTTTTTTTGGCATTTTCTTCAACAGTTTCGGTGTAATTGAGTCAAAAACAGCGGATTTCTTAGTTTTTAATTTAAAAATTTTTTTGAGTACCATATTCAATAAAAGGAATTTAAGACAACTGCTCTTATTCACTAGTGGTAACGGATTGAAATCCAGATCATTTGGAGTGATGCGATCAGGATTTGGTTTAAAAACTGGTGATAGATCTTGGGCGAATAATTCCACTTTTTTTCTATCGCTTCTTGATCAAGATGGATCATCACCTTCTGCTCCTGTTAGATCATTACGGCGTAAAGGTGGATTCTTGAGAGTGGGTTTTAGCATGTTCTTAATAGGTTTCCAGATAGAGTTATCATATCGAGCTTTGTAATACTTTGTAATTGTATATAATTATTAAAGTTTTCCTCGTTTAGTTCTTTAAGTTGTTAAGAATGTTTCTGTCAAACGGTAGATGTATATGCTGCCATTTGCGTCTAACTTTACGTTTTTCACTTAAAAGTTCTTTTATTTCAAGTGGAATAGAATGTTGTTGATTTTGTTGAACTGTAGGTGTAGCAGCTTAAACAGCTTCTAGCAGAGTTTTGTTAAATGTTGCAATATCATCTTCTATTTTCCGACTTGTTTTGAGTTTAATTTTTAAATTAGTATTTTGCTCAGTAACTTGGCGATATAGCTCCTAATTGGTTTTAGCAGAGTGAGGTTTTAGAGTTTTTTGCAGATTTACAACTGTAGAGAATATGGTTGCTACTACGGAGGTATGATCTGATGAAAGGTCGTAACTAGCTTGTATTTCAACACAAACTTAGACCATTAGCGACGAAAAGGTTTCTTCTTAGGATCGGCTGGCCAGTAAGTGGGTGTACCCGTTAAAAAGGTGGAAAAACTGTGTCGAAGGATCATCTTATACAGTTGTTTATCTTTTGTATTTGATGTCCTTGAGCACCAGAGAGGATGTTTACTGTTAAAGCCACCGCCAGCTATAAACTTAGATCCATAAGAATATTCATTGAGAAATTTTCGTAGAATTGGGAACTGTTAATGATATGTGAGGGAGGCAGTATACGGAAATTACTAATTTGTAATTTATCAGTTTTGTTTTTACAGAAGTTGCTTGAATTTGTTCTTTACTAAAATTTTGGAGCTCATAGTGAATAATAGCAAATTTTATTATAATCGCTGCGCCGGACATAGATATTTAAGCATTGAGTAAAATGTGTTTCACTAACAAGGAGTATATCTATTTTATTCTCGTAAAGAAAGAACTAAGTTTCATGTTTGCGCTTCAAAAGCTCATTTGCATTCTATAACGCCATAAACCTTGCTATGGCGTTTACTTTATTTTATTTATGAGAGTTGATACCATGCTTATAATCATGTTATTTTGATTCATCAATTGTTAAAACATATTTTTGAACAATTTATTTAAGAACATTGTTAAATTTTCAGTAGAGTTTTTATTGGTTGTGTTAGCCTGTTGATGAGATTGTTGTGATCTCATAACTTGTGCATATGTTATACGCTAAGAATTT